TAATAAAAGGTATAGCCAGCAGCTGATCAAGCTACAGCAGAAACAAGATATACGCAAGCACAAGCCGAGCCAAAGAGCTTATAACCTAATCATGACACCGCTACACTAATACAATGACACTGTCTTTTACTACGATTTTACTCTGCCCTTCAGAGAATTCAGTATTTGTAACTTCTCACCAGCATGTAGGCTCTTGAAACAAAGCTGTTGGTTGGGAAGCAAAGATCTTCCCAGTTACGTACCCTCAACAATGCAAAGAAAATAAATCTCTATATTAAATGGGAGTTCTCAGAGTTTTCATTTATTGGCTTGTGTGTATACAAAAAGGACGATGATGATACTTTTGGTCTGATGCCTAACTGTGGTCACCAAGACAGGAAGTGAGGTGAAATCACTTCAATGGGGACACACATAGCAATAAAAACAAACACACTTTTTAGGTAGAGTGAAGGATTAGAACTTCTGATTTTTGTATAAAGGTCTACATTCCTGTTGGAAAGTCCTCTCTCTACTGGTGGTCACTGTGACAGGAAGTGAGGGAACATTCTTAGAACAGAGCACGAGGAAGCAACAACAACTTCCCAAAGGTTCTGACCCTTTGTCACTTTTCAACACAAAAATATTTTGGCTGGAGTGACAGTTGGGCCCCGTTCACACCAGGGCATTGCGGGAATGCATGTTCTCACGCGTTTGCGGGACACGTTTCCTGTGTTTGGCGTGTGTCCCCATTGGATCTCAGGACATGTGCCAAATGCAGAAAATGAGTACATGTTGCAAATTTGGCGACACGCGTTCGGGATGCAATTACCTAGTAATAGTAACACAGGCGCACTCTGCGTTTGTGCAGGAATCGTGAACCCGCGTTCTCGATACGCCCTGGTGTGAACGGGGCCTTATGGAAAACTGTGCTAACGTTCTCACTCTGATCTTCATTTGCAGCTGAAGGTAACATGACCTGCTTGTGTGAATTATTTAATCACAACCAGGAAATGACAAAGTGACATTGGCAACATTTCCTCATTTATTACAAGTCGTCTTTTATAGCGCCCGACAATATACGCAGCACTTTACATTGTGCACATTCAAAGCAGCCCCTGCCCTCAAGGAGCTTGCAATCTACCCTACTTCACATGCATACATATACTAGGGTCAGTTAACCTACCAGCATGTCTTTGGAGCATGGGAGGAAACCAGAGTACCCAGAAGGCACATGTAGAACATGCAAACTCCATGCAGATAGTGCCCTGTCCAGGATTTAAAAGACAGAAGGGCTAATCACAAGGCCAATCAACTCTTTCATTTCTAGAAGAGAAAACACATGGACGAGCAATTACAAAAAAAAATAGGTTTAATGTTAGCTATGGAAAAGCAGAGATCCCTCTGTGTCTGCAATATAAACACATACCTACATATAGAGATAGAGAGAGTGTGTGTTAAAAAAGGTGCATGCTGCAGTGCTGTCCTTATTTAAAGAGACCCTGTCACTGGGTGGGAAAGGGATCCAGCTGCTGTAAGTATGAAGTTAAAGCATCCAGAAGTTGAAACATCTGAAGAAGCCTCCTAAACCTTCCCATGAAGGATGAAAGCCAAGTCATTGTGACGGGCAGAGCTCTGACACTTCCAGGTAGCATATTAGTTTGGCACTAAGCCTGCCCCTGAGCATTCCTATTGGCCCATCACTGTGACAGGCGGCTTCACTGCGCAATCGGACGTTACCATCACATTAGGGTTTGGGACACTGTTCCTAGTATTTCAAAATGTTTATTAGTTTCCATCTTATACAGTAACATTTTGTTATATTCCAATATCATATGTAACACAGTAACATGTTGGAAAAGCCTATAATCTCACCACAGTATCCCCTCTCCCCCCTTTAGAACTTGACCATGCTATTATAAACTCATTAGCTGGGTATCATTCCAACCAATGAGTGTCTACTTCCAATCAGGGGGCCAGTATGACAACATTTACCGACTTATCCATAAGGGTACTGTTATTATTTACTGATTTTACATACTGTTCCATGTGCATTCCATACCTTCATCAGTTTCCCCCCTTCACTAATGACAGAGTCCCTTTATCCACTTGAAGTGTCACCGACCTGGAACAAAATGTGTTCTTCTGATTTCAGACACCTGATGTGCACATGTATGTTACAGGTCAATGACCCACCGAGTAACCAGGATGAAAGACGAACATCTTGCATCTTCAAAACAAGTCAACAGCGCCAGTTCCCGCATTTGTATGCTGACAGATTCCATTTACAGTTTCAAGAAAATGTTTGTATTCTGATGACTGTATGTACGTGTTCAGCCCACGGATTCCATTTTTCAGTTTCACATGTTTTCTATTAACGTGCAGACCAATCTAGAGGGGAGGGGGGGGTATGGGGCACTTACAATGGCCACCTGTTTAACTACATGGTTTATATCACTTAAAAAAATGGTTCTATTAAAGTAAAGTTCTCTTTTAAACTCCAAAAGACAATATGCCAACCCACGTTTAATGTGGTCATGTGACCCATCTGATTGGTCAGTATTCTAAATCTATCCAAGAAAACCCATCCCGAGTGTGGGGGACATTTTTTCAGATGTGATTAAACAGGTTGGGAAGTTTCAGGTCCACTTCATACCATGCACTGCATTAATGCAACGTGTCAACAGGCATTAAGACACAATAGAGCAGTGCAAAGGGGGGGCTGATCTTTAATGGTTTCTTTGACTCAACCCTTTCCATTCGTCATTTCTGATCTAATCTATAGATCAATCAAATGGAAACTGGAAGGAAATAGGTTTAATGTACAATTCTTTCTCCTTGCCTTTTTGAAAAATTCAAATGAGTAAAATATAGATCGAAGCTTCTAGTCAACCAAACAATGAACTCCGAGTGCATACAGGATCAGAAGAAAAGGAACAATGTAAGTGTGTGTGTGTCTAGCGTCAGTGACTCCATGTTGGTCTATCTGAAGGGCTCTGCTTGTCCTTGGAGGACTCTCCCTGCTCTCTGACCAGTTGTGTGGCTGTGGATCTATAATACTAGTTTATCTCTACTACTCTGTATTGATCTCTCTATAAATCAGTCACGGGCTCCAGGTGTCTCTCCAGGAAGAATCGGTGTCTCTGCGGTTTGGATTCCTTCGGTGCAGCGAAGTACGACAGAAGCGATTGAGATGACTTATCTGCCTCTTCCTCGTCGTCGCCCCTGCACAAGAGACACAAAAACAAGGCTTAAATATTAAAGCTGAACTCCGGAGAAACAGCTAACTATACCACTGATGTGCATATATGAAAGACGCTTCACCTGTCAAAGGATCTATCCAGTCCTGAGATATTCGTAGACCTATCGGTCAGGTTGCTGACCGGCCTTTGCTGTGCAGCAGTTAAGCAATACAGCTTGGTCACCTCCCTGCCCTGTGAATGGACAATGAAGGCAGCAGGTCAACTTAAAGCCCAGCTCCAGCGATCTTTCTTTATTCAGGGCTTATTCACACTTGTCCATTTTTATTTCACTTGCATTGCAACTAGAAATCCCATCATTTCCTATGTAGCTGGTTCACATCTATGTGATGCAGGTTACTGTGAAAGGTAAACTATATGGGCCCATTTACACCTATGCCTGTGCATTAGAACTTCTACTGCATGCACATGGAACAGTGTAAATCACGCCTAAAAAGTTCAACTGAAGGGTAAATATACAAACGCAGCCCTGGCTGCCAATCATAAACCTTCTCTCCAGAGCTGTCCTCCGCAGTTATGGCTTCACTGCCATGTCCTAAGTCTTGAGGGTTGAATGGCATTCACAGTATGTCCTCTAACTTCACAGATTCTATGATAGCCAGTGTCATTCAATCAGGAAGATGGGAGCAGGTCATCATGGACAGCACCCTGCAGTTACATACAATGATGCAAGCCTCCCACTGCTGAAAGAATATGTAAAAAGAAAAAAAAGGACCCTGCGTGTCACATGACTTGACCAGACACTTCTGGAAAAGGGAGGTACAGTACAATTTTTCAAAAATACACACAGGGGCCTCTGGGATGGAGGTGAGGTTGAATGGGGGGGCCGGATGGAAGAGCCGGTGTTCTATCAAAGTTTGTGACTGCGTTAGAATGCGTGACCGGTGATGTGGTCACACATTTTAACCTAATCCCGCCCAGTTTGTGGGCGGTGGAATGTGTGACCGGTCACGTGGTCACACATTTTAACATGCTCCCGCCCAGTTTTTCGGCGGTGGTATATGTGACCAGCAAAAGGTGAAGAATTCCAACACTTTCTCAGCTGTTCCCGGGCAGATCGGCATCGCAGATGGTATGTGCAGATGAACCAATCTGCCCTGGAAAAGCCGATCGGTCCTGAAATGTCACTTTTATCCGACTTTGTGAAATGTGAGATCGCACTCACAGAGTCAGATAGAAGTGACATTTCAAGACCGATCAGATCGGTTCATCTGCACATACCATCTGCGATGCCGATCTGCCCGGGAACAGCTGAGAAAGTGTTGGAATTCTTCAACTTCCTTTTGCCGGTCACATATTCCACCGCCGAAAAACTGGGCGCGATTACGTTAAAATGTCTGACAACGTGACCGTTCACACATTCTAACGTAGCCACAATCTTTAACAGGACACCGGAAATTAGGCACTGGTGTCAGGGAGAAATTGCCTGTTGTCCACAGCAGCCAATCAGCTTATGACCTGCCTTATATTTAGGACAGATAACGCCGGACATCTCTGGGGAACACACAAGAAGGTCACATGGCCAGGCAACCAGTACCTCCAGAAGGAGCTCAGTAATGGCAACCTACATGCATATAGCTCTTCGGATTTTCTTTAAAGGGAGTATTTCCCCTCCGGTACTGTTTTATTTTTGTTATTCTCCTTTGAACTTGCCAAGAAAGTTCACTACTTCAGGTGAGTCCATTCCCTCAGCCAATCTGAACAGCTATACCAGGGGTGGGCAACTGCAGACCCCCAGCTCTGGTTTAACTACATATACCGACATGCCTCTGACAGTCATGTCTGTCAATGTCAGTCTAGGAATGCCTCATGGGATCTGTACTTCAATGGCTGGAGGGCCGGAGTTGCCCACCCTTGATCTACAAGCACCTTCAAGCCAATAGAACAGCGCAAGAATCTGAGTGTCAGGAGAGGTCATTTTCAGCATGTTGATACTATGGAGAGAAGGGGGGTTTGAATGACCTCAAAACGTAACAAGTCAAAGAGTGACTCGCACTCCATTTCATATTATAGTCAGTCTTCTTTATTGACCAGGGTAGTGTCACATTGCTGAGCGACGTTTCGGAACCAAGTGGTCCCTTCTTCAGGCAAACAAACGCGCTTTTGTTTGCCTGAAGGGACCACTTGGTTCCGAAACGTCGCTCAGCAATGTGACACTACCCTGGTCAATAAAAAAAGATTGACTATAATATGAAATGGAGTGCAAGTGACTTTTTGACTTGTTACGTTTGATATGCAGAGGCATCTGCAGTGACTTTAAGCACCCACCCGACTTTTTTTGTGGGTTCAATCCGGCCAGGAGTGCGATGGGATCTACTATGTTTTGAATGGCCTCACCCCCACACCATCAGTGTCTTCTGGTGCCGACCAGGCATGAAACTGTTGCCCGAACCGGCTGATCATATCATGTCTGTGAACAGATTGAGCTTTTCATTTCACAGAGGGCCGCAGGAAGGCAAAGCCTGAATTAGAGGCGCAGAAAGCACTCAAGGACCTGCCGGTGATTTTACAAGTCAGTAATTAGATGTGAGAGCAGTTGGGGGATGGAGACAAGACGTGCACGAAAATCCTCTTTACAACACAAGGTCTGTCTGACCTCCTCCCCCCTCCAGCATAATCTGACACTGCTAATTAGCGCCAATGTTACTAGCAACCAAGGCCAGCTTCAGCACAAATCCATGACCTACTGTTACAGTAACTGCATGCAGATAAGAGGAGAAAGACTCCATAGGTATTCTCACTCGTACACTGCTGCCCCCTGCTGGTGGACCTGAGCCAAACACTACATTTATACGTAAAGAAAAAAATCTCTTAGGGCCCATTCACACTAATCGATGTGCGATGCCACACCACACTGTGTACTTTTTTTTTTTTAGAACTTTATTGACATGTTACAAGTGTTTCATTCAGTTCTACAGTAACAGCAGGGTGCAGGATGGTTGTACTGTGTCGCATCCCGATGCGCTTGAAAGAAAAATACCCCATGCCATACTTTTTTTTAGCGCACACCGCCGCAATACTGACACGTCAATACTGACGCTTTTCATTTTTAAACACAAGCGGCTGCCGTAAGGTCCCATGCTTGCCAAGGACCTCGGAGTGGCTGTTTACAGCGCGTGTCCAACCACACATCCCCTTCTCCTTCCCGCCACCCTGCACGCAGCCCTGGCATGCAACACAGAGTACGTAGCTTCATATTATTCTGCATTGCTGTAGAATGTATTGCTGGGATTTGTAGTCCTCTTTAGCTGGTGGTATTCTGCATTGCTATATAATATATTGCGGAGATTTGTAGTCCCTCTACAGCTTTGAGTCAGTGGCAGAACTACCGGGGTTGCAGCTGTGTCCGGGTCCCAGTGCTCCACCACTTTCCTAAAATCATGAGTCTGTATTGTTTTAGAAAAACGGTCACATGATGCCTTTTTTTTTTGCATCAGTAATTGGTCTCAGCAAGTACTTGAGGAAAAGTCACTGACCTGGAACAAGCATGAAACCTCATTGGCTGCACTTTGCTTTGAGTCATCAGCTTAACATGCACTGATGCACTGTAAAGGCAAAAGGTACCGTACACATTCACTCACCATAGCACCGGGACGGCTTTAGTGTCCAAGATAAGCTGCGTTGTGCTCCAGCTGAATCGCACAAACTGAGGGTATCCGAAGACGGGGTCAAGATGCCGAGCGAGCCACTCTTTAGTCTTTGGGTCTGTTAGAAAGGATACGTACAAACATGAGCTGGATAACCTCTGCAACGGAAGTGCAATCCTTCCCTTTTCTGCCCATAAAAAGGTAAAACACATTTGGGGGAATTTATCGAAACTGGAGCAGCTGTGCATGGCAACCAATCAGCTTACAAATCTCAACTCAACAAACTAGAGAGAAGCTGATTGGTTGCCATGGGCAACTGCTTCACATTTTGTCTGCTCCAGGTTTGATAGATTCCCCTCAATCTGTCCTAGGGTGACAACACTCACTCCCTGTACTGCATCTATGGAGGAGTAGCATGACCACCCTAGGACAGGACAACAGAACACCTCTGCTTTCTATTCCCCATAAGGGAGAGGTGTTCTGTACCCCCAGAGGGACTGGGAACAATGTAACTGATAGCAGTCAGCACAAGAAGTCATCAGCTAGCTAGGTTTCTGGCAGGATCAACAAGTATTATTCATACTTATGGAAACAGATCTAACAAGAAGCGTTTAATGGTAAGAGAATAATACAAGAAACTTATTGCCAGGATCACATAAACTGGACCCTTTTCATGACCTGGGTTTATTAGCGCCTAAGGGTCATGTAAGACAGATGATTTTGTAGCAGAGATTATTTGCTGCTACAAATACAAGAGAATAACAGCGATATGTAGCTAGAAATGTAATCACTATAGTCCCTAGTGATTGGTCGCCAAGAATCGATTTATTGCTGCTACATCATCACACTGCTATAAATCTCTCTCCTTTAGAGATTTGCAGGCAAGCCATGAAGGTGAATGCAGAGTGACTTCCGCAGCTGAGCCTGACACTGACATGAAACGCTGCACAAGCCCAATTTGGGCCAGTATTGGTTTTAACACTTTAAAAGGGTAAGCTCACCTTTTTTTACAAAATGTGAAAAAATAAACTTACCCCCAATCCCCCAATCCCCGCTGACCAGCCCGACAGTATTCTTAAGGTGTCCATACACCTTGCGATTATCGTACGATTTTCATATGCGATGAAGATTTTCATATGCGATAAAGTTGATGGGGAGCCTACAACCAAAAATACTGTACAAACGTACGACGTTAGTCTTTCCAGCATGCTAGAAAAACCTAATTTTCGGTGGGTTAGTGGCGTGGTTATACAACAAGATTTGTACGATCGAAACAGCGCAAACGAAAATTTTTCCTCTAAATCACAGCCAATCATCTAATTAGCGGTGGAGACGAACGATAATCGCAGGTCTGTGCATGATGGGCTGGTTGTGCGAAAATGTAATGAGGTTACAACCATCGTACAACAAAAGTTGTACGATGGTTGTAAGGTGTATGGGCACCTTTATTGTTCAGCGCATTTATGTGACTGCTGACCAACGAGCGCTCGCCATTTGCAAGCACCGCGATTATTTCACAATACGGGGCTGTCAATTGTAACATAAAAAGGTATACAGATCACTACACTGACTGGGGAGGAGGGGGTACCACAGCCGGAACCAGTAAAGCTGGGGAGCCAGCTGTGAGTACATTGTCTAATATTAATAAGACGCATTAAAGAAAACCTGTACCAAGAACACATGGTTACTGTAGGCCTCCCTGAGAGTTCGGGTTGCCCTTCAATACTTTGTGTCGCTGACACGTGAACAAAGCTACCAATAAGAGGCTCTTTCATCACTCTGACTTCAGTTACAGCGGCCAAGTTTGTTCCAGGCTAGCGACCCAGAACCTACAGAAGCCAGAAAACTAACATTTTCAGCAGAGGTCAGCAAAGGCAACACTTATATTTTGCCAAGTTCCCATAAAGCGACACTAAAAACTCAGGAGTTAAAAGGGAGAATTATTAAACGATGTGGTTTTCATTTGGTAAACTCTTGTAGTCCATCCCGGGAGTGAGCTTGGAGCGGTGACTACTTTACAACACACACAGGGACCATGGGGAACAAAAGTAGCCACCCTCCAGAAGGAAGGAAAGTGCCAGCACCAATTCAGAGATGATTTGAGGATCCACAGCCGAGTGACACACAAATAAGATACAGTATTGTTAATAGTTGAGGTACTTGAATATATTTTTAAGAATTTAACACGAGTTTAGTGTCACTTTAAGAACACAAAATGCTGTACCCGTCTTCTATACTGACACAATAAGTCAATGTTATCTGACAATGTGGTGGGGAGGGAAACCAATAGATGTAACAAACATCCCAAGGTTATTGTTAGCATGCGTTTGCCTAATAAGCAAAACACACAATGGCTGAAAAGGATACATTTCCAGGATCAGCACATTTCGCTAGCAGATAAACAAAATAGCTATTCATTACATATTGAGATCAACATCCTGCCATGTGATTGGGGGGGCACTAATTAAGATTCGCTCTGCTGCTGGGCTATCCTGTGTATACCCGTGTGGGGGGTCATCTTTAATGCTATTGCGGTCATTTTATATGCACAATGCTGAGAAATGTGCAGTGCAATATGGGACAGTACTGGGGGTGCCTAATATTACAGCAAAAGAGTCCCGCTGGGCAAGGAGAATGGTGTTGCAAAAAAAGGCAGATCTGTGGCATGGCATAACTAACCATTTGGGTATCCAGAGCCGTACTCCGCATCAACTTCTCCCAGATCTTCCAGGAACTTCCAGCCCTTCACCACCCGGTCCCTGGCCACCTACATAGAAAATACAGGTCAATCTGTACAGACATACTGGGTTATGTGTATTAAAGCTCATCAAAATCCAAATACAATAACTTAATATTTTGCAGATGACCAATCCTAAAATGTGGTGGCTGCATTAGATTTCCTTTATTTTCACTTGGTGATCCTGTGAATAAAAACACACTTCCCATCCTAGGGCGGCAACGCTCACTCATTGTACTGTATCTATGGAGGGAACCAGGGGTACCCCTAGCTTACTTGAGGCACCGGGGTTGGCTTCCTGCCGAGCTCCTGGCACCAAGTGACATCACTGGTTGCCAGGAGCTGGGAGGGATGCCGCCAAGAGTGTCCCAAGTTGCTAAGAACTGGGTGGCCAGTAACATTACTTGTTGCCAGGAGTAGAGCGGGAAGCCAGTAAGAGTGTCCCCCGTTGCCAAGAAGTGGGTAGAGAGATGTGTACAGACCTTACACATCTCCCTGCCCAGCTCTTAGCAACCTGGGACGTTCTGGCCGAAACGGGGGCAGCAGACACCCTGCAAATATTGTGCAGTGGCCATGCCGCTCCCCCTACAAGATGCAGCCTGAGGCAACAGTGTCAGGCTGCCTTATTATAGGGCCGGCCCTGGAGGGAACCATGGTGGCCACACCCAGGTTAGATTTATTTTCATCTCCAGAGCGGATGGGGACAATAGTAGTTTATAGAAGAAAGATTAGGTTTTTTCTTTCCCTTTTAGTTCATCTCAAAGACAGTGACAAGGATGTGACATTTCTGACAAGAGCAACAGATATTTTCTGCACGTGACGCAAATGTTCTTGAAAAATAAAAACAAATGCAACCACCAAATCCAAGGTCTGGTAAGCTGCAATAGATTACATTTTATTTTTGGGTGTGGGAAGCACGAGTGGGCATTGGGTGAAATTTACCATACAGTTGGGATTTAAAAGGCAGTAAAGTATTTCATACCTACCCAGAGGGTAAAAAAAAACAAAAATACATAAATAAATCAAAATTTATAGCAAAAACACAATGGGGGGGGAATTTAAAAACAGGAGCAGACCGTAAAGAAATGCATTGAGTGGGCTGTATCAAAACTGGAGCAGGCGTCCATAGTAACCAATCAGCTACTTTCTTTAGTTTGCTCAGTTAGGTTTTGAAAATGAAAGGTAGAAGCTGATTGGTTGCCAGGGGCAAATGCTCCAGATTTTGATAAATTCCCCTCCGTGCATTTCTTATAAAACAAACCTGTACAGAGAGAGAAGCACTGGGGCTGCCATTCCTGATATCTTCCTATAAATACTTGTTGCCTGGCTGTCTCTGGATTCATTGCTTTCCGAGTTACTGCCCCAAAAACAAGCATGCAGATCAGAAAGTCAAATTCAAATCTGCCAACTTGTTCCAGGTTAGTGACACAGAAGTACTAAAGCCACTGGAGCAGCCAGACAATTCACATTTGCAGTAGGAAGCCATCAATGACACCCCAATACTTAGATTTAGTTGTGCTTTTTTTCCAGCACAGTTATCACAATGCTTTCCAAAAAATCATCAAGAGAAGGGGTGGCTACTCCAGATGTGGTGGAACTACAAGTCCCATGAGGCATTGCAAGGCTGACACACACATTTATGACTCCGAGGAATTGTAGTTTCACCACAGATGGGGGGCCAAGGTTGCCTACCGCTTATCTACAAGGTCTTATGTAGAAATGCTAAATACTACAGAAATAACATGATGTGCTTGGGAAGAAATTGTATCAGTTATTTTTAATGTGTCCACCATGGAACGCTAACAAATATTTTATCATCATTATCTGCAATAAATCAATGTCATTGTTTTTTTTTTTTATTTACAGAAGAAACAAACATTACATTGGCTCCCCCTGCTGTTCACCAGAGTAATTACAGAGTATAAAATGGGCATATTTTCCACCAATCTCATAATAATGAATAACACATAAACATGATCATGTAGTGCATATAAGAGTAATAAAGACAGCCATGTAAACAATTTACAAGTCCTGCTTTGCTCCCCTCTGATTTCACTTTGTGTTCTACATACCGGACCTAGAGCCAAGAACAACTCTCCTGCCCAAAGAGGGTCCTTAATGACCACTAATTGTTATTTATATCCCATCGCACTCCTGACGGCAGAATCCCAAACGGATCAGTGCTGGGTGCTGCTGTGATGGGCGGATTGCGCCGCGTTAGGAGCAATGAAAAGAAGAATCATCGGCGCTCCAGCACTGAAGCGAGACGTCTTTTAGTGACGCATGTTCAGAATATCACAAAGCAAACATTTCGGGGGCCACATGGGGTCCCTTCATCAGGCAAACATCACACATTTTGCCTGATGAAAGGACCTCATATGGTCCTAAAACGTAGCTTGCTTTGTCAGCTGTCAATCAGGCAGCGGGGTGGATCCCAGCAATATTGTCAGGATCCTTCCTGGCTGAACAGCGGCTCTGTTTCTATCAGCATATAGTGGGCAATAGCCCGCAATATGCCGAGTTTTGGGTCACAGGAGGACGCTAGTAAATGTCCTCCTGTGACCCAAAAGAGAACGCCAAAAAAAGGTTTTCAACATAGTTCTCTTTTAAAGCAATTGTTACTAACATTAATCGTTTTCCTGCAAAGCTAAGTACCTACATCTTCTGCTCCACTGATCCCTGCAACATTGAAAAGAAACCGCTGCCTGAAGACCCTACAAAAACTGACACCTCTGGAAGTGTCAGATCCTGGTCCAACCCCCTGCGCTCAGCAGCGATTGGTGGAGCGGATAGCAGAAGAGGGAGGCATTTACTTCTCCCCATGCATCTTCTTTGCAAGTTACCATTTGGTCACCTACAAATCTCGGGGTGTTTAATTCTTCCCCTGACTGAAGCAAAGCGTCCACAACCCAAACTATTTTCACACATGAGTTTATTTGTGAAATCCCATTGGATTTATGTTATGTGCCCAGTTTAGTTGTAGCGCACTGCCTGCACAATGAATATTTCATATGCTGTAAAATTTTAGCTGAAGCATGAAAACGGGCTGTCGTCTGAACAAAGAAAAACCCTCCTCCTCCTGCTCATCAGTGACGCACAAAGCCACCTAATGGAGCTTAATGATCCTTTACAGAAAGGCTGCTCACTAGATCTCTCACTATTCACAGGGCTACGTTTTTAGTAAAGTGACATCAAAGTCACATTTTTTTTTCCACTCCCCCCAATGTTAATGTCAGCACTTACCTTAGATGATGTCTCTTAATCCGATCTTTCCTGATGTTTTCATCTGTCCCTCCAGCACTGCGGCGGGTGTCCGATCCAGCGCTGACTCCTCTGTCCTTGCTGGTACTTCCTGTCCCACGGTGTCTGCATGCGGATGCACGCGTCCATAGACTTACCTTGCGTCTCTCTTTGTCTCCCGGCCGAAAATCGGAACTGCGCATGCGCCCGCCCCAAGATGCTTTGCGGCCGCCCGAGCAGTTTTGGATTTTCTGACGGGAGCGCGCGGCGAAGACAGGGTAAGTTTAAACCACTGTTAAAGTTTTTTCTTTTACTTTTTGCATACATCTACTGCTTGCCCGCAGTAGATATATGCAAAAAAAAACGGGAGGCTTTAGAAACCCTTTAAAAGTGTCTGTATACACCAAACGTATTTTTTGTTTTGTACAGAGTAAAGAAGAGTTACGAACCCTATCAGGTTATGGCTTGCTTTCCGGGCCCTGCCAGGAAGATTTCCCTTCACTTCCTGTGCCGCCCCAACAGGGGCATAGAATATGAGATGCGTAGCCTCAGTTAAGATTAGCATTGTTATATAGGTTAGAATTTATATAGTGTGATTTGCCTAACTATTTTCTCATAGCTAAATCCATGTGTTATCCTATGCTGCCATCTAGTGGCCTTTTGTTGTAACAAACATGCTTTCTGTAATTATTCCTCATATGACGATTGTATTTTCCCCTAGTGTAGCCCCACCCTTCTTCCTGTGTGCAGTACTTCCTGTGTCATGGGCACAGTTGAAAGCCACGTGTAACAGGACACACATGTAATCTGCACAGTACGTAGGAAAGGCATCATTTTCTGACCGCACAATACTATAACCGTTCAACTGCTGTTCCTATCATCTGCTGTAACCTGATGTAGAAGAATAAACACCTTTTTTGAATGAATCGGTATTGACGAGTTCAGCTATCTGACGAGGATTGTCCGCAGTGAGTATATCTGCTTATACAGGCCAGGCATAGAGGTCTCAGCAAGGGATATATCTCGCTATCACAACGATCGGAGTCAGAATACTTCCTGCATTAAAAATGAACTGTACACATATCTTTAAAATAAACACACCTTTAGAAATGACAAACGCATACTTCTAGATATTACCCGGCTTTTTATTCTTTGCATACCTTATGTCTCTTTACCATTCTTCTGACATAGGCCATGTTAACTAAGGGCAGGTTACAAGCTCTCACTTTACTTCCTGGAACTCTGGCACATGCGACTAGGACATGTGACCATGCACATCCTCTCAGGGGAAGAAATTGCCTTTCCCTGAGATCTTGTGAGATCACAGATGAGATTTCCCAGCAATGCTCTGCTGATGTAACCTTCCCAGGATGCCAATCCTTGGGCACATTACATCATTTGTGCCAAAACCGGCCCAGGAAGTAGATGAACTCTATTTGTAAGTAAATTAATGATGTGATGTTTAGTGAAAGGGGGGTAAAGGTCCACTTTAAGCTGGCCGCACACTGCTCTTTTTTTCGTTCAACCCACTGGCTGCACTAAAAAAATAAAAATAAGGCAGATTCCTTCATCAACGATAAGAGCGCATTGGTCGAGGAATCCCCGCTGTTTCTTTTATATTTTTTCAGCAGCCGCTGGCTCCTCCGATTTTCTGACTGGCTCCTTTGATCAGCTGATTGAGGGATGCCAGCAGAAAAGGAACTGACCACCTTTAGTGATACAACAGGAAGTGAAAGGAAATCTGCCCACAGAGAAGGAAAATTCTCAGGTGAGACAGTTGTCATCAGAATATTTGTCCCCATTTGAAGATTTTCCCTCAACTCTTGCTCTCATGAAAACTCTAAAAATTTACAAATTTCAACATTCTCGGTCACAGGACCAAACAGAGGTATAAGCTTTCCCTGTGGGGACACAGATCATGATAACAACATATCAGAAGGTCTAACCCTCCCTGCTCTATCCAAACCTGAAGAGGTATACAAAAAAAATGCAATAAATACAATTGTACAAGTAGTAGTGATATGGTGACTTCTGAACACAGCCCTCACCTTTGCACAGATACTAGCAGCACTAACCACAGGAAACAAAGAATCAGCTTTAGGCCTCACAGTCACTTCCAGTGCAGGGAAAAGCTTCTTCAGCTTCTCTTGATACTTCTCAGCAGGACCCACAGTATCTACAAACACCTGCAGGGGGCGACAACACACACACGAGAACAATACATCAGATGAGAACTGAAAAGCCCCAAACAGAACCCGATTTGCATAAAAGAGCAAATAAAATAAATAGATAAACAGGAAGCTATGGTCATCTATCATCTCTTTAAATGCAGCTAAGGTAAGTACTCAAGTCTGATTTTATAACAGCCTTCTCAAATCCCCTGCACAGCAGATCCCTTATAGGAGCCAGAAAGCAAGCACTGTAAGCCAATTAGGTATCACTGCATTTCAAAAATCCTGATAGAAGGAAAGTGCAGAGGGATGACTATTAGCGTGATGCCGCTTCTGCACTGTCCAATCAACAGGCTAGGGTTTTGGTCTTATCAGACAAAAAGTTTTCTTTAACTCTTCGTGCTAATGGCTGCCAGCTGAACAATCCACTTGCTGTTGCATACTCGAAGTTTTCAACAGTTTATCGCAGTTTTTCACACAGACTTGAGGGGCTGCTTATTCAAGGCTCTAGGGCTTTCACCACGAACATATCAAACAAAAGGGAACAGAGCGCCACCTCTGTGTGTAAAATTGTTTATTAAATAATTAAAACACGGGATAAAAGTACTCACAAACGCTTTCATCAGGCTTTAACAACAAACGAGAGGCCACACTGTCCGTTAACCCAACATGGTATCGCCCCGACTATGTAACGCGGTAGCCTCCGGTCACATCACCGTCAGCCAAGATTGACGCGTTTCAGGGGCAAGCCCCCTTCATCAGAATCAATGAACGGTGATGTGACTGGAGGCTACCGCGTTACATAGTCGGGGCGATACCATGTTGGGTTAACGGACAGTGTGGCCTCTCGTTTGTTGTTAAAGCCTGATGAAAGCGTTTGTGAGTACTTTTATCCCGTGTTTTAATTATTTAATAAACAATTTTACACACAGAGGTGGCGCTCTGTTCCCTTTTGCTTTCTAGGGTTTTGGTCTTGACCAAACTGTAATGCTGCAAAAATGGACAAGACCCTGGCTGTGCTGTCTAGCAAGGGGTGCCCGAATCCCAAAATTGGATGCACAGGGTTATAAATTTGATACTTGGGAGCTGTTCTACTTCCCTAAGTATTTGTATCTAGCCAATTGCCTTAAGTTCAGCTTTAACATTTTATACTTCCCATCCCTGGCTATAGTTTGCAAAATATATACACATTACATCAGTGCAGCAACATGCATCTATTTTATATGTGCATCCTGCTTAGTAGTTCCAGACTGACAAAACTGCATCTCTATGTGCGGAGGTGGCTTACAGTTATCAGCCTGCAACAAGAAGTGTTGTTACTGGTAGGATCTCCAGGTAAGAAACAGAATGAAACATTTGGGGTTTACATATAGTTTAAAGGAACCTTTCCTAAGAGACACATGGAGGTTGCCATTGTTGACTTTGCTTTCTGTAAATACTAGTTGCCCGGCTGTCAAGTTGACCTTTTCAATTCAGTACTTTGAGACACTAAGCCAGGACAAATATGCAGCTGAAAAACAGCCAGAGACAATTAGAAGTTCCCCCCCCAAAAAAGGCCTGCAATGGAGGCCACCATTTTTCTCTTGGGAAAGGTTTATTTTGAATTGGTTGCTACTTCTCACAAAAGTTCTATCATACCGAGACTAAACTCAAGAGTTAGATCTTAAAAATGCATTCAAGTACCTTAACTATAAACAATAATGGACCTTATTTGTGCATCACTCGGCTGTAGATCCTCAAATCATCTCCGAGTTGGTGCCGACACTGTCCTTCCTTCTGGAGGGTGGCTACTTTTGTTCCCCATGGTCCCTGTCTGTGTTGTAAAGTAGTCACCGCTCCAAGCTCACTCATGTGATAGACTACAATAATTTGTTTAGTTAACGTTGTTGTATTGAGATTGCAATCACGTGAGTGAGCTTGGAGCAGTGACTACTTTAAAAACACACACAGGGACCATGGAGAAGAAAAGTAGCCACCCTCCAGAAGGAAGGACAGTGTCAGCACCAATTCAGAGATGATTTGAGGATCTACAGCCGAATGATACACAAATAAGATACATTGTCACTCATAGTTAAGGTACTTGAATGTATTTCTAAGCTTTAAAAAAGGAGAACTATGGGGTTAGGGCTTTTCCCCATAGTTCTCCTTAGGGTAACGGGGGGAGACAAACTAGCCTCCTCCCGTCACCTTAACCTCAGTATAGCTCGCGGTATACTGAGACGCCGCAGCTGAAACATCCCGACAATTATGTCTGGATCCGCCCAGCTGCGTGAGTGACAGCTGGCTCTGCCTATCTAGAGGCAGAGCCAGCTGTACCCGCCCCTTCCCCCATCCATTCCGCCAGTCAACGCTGGAGGATCGGAGCGGGGGGAATCCAGCCCCTCCCCTGTCACGGCAGAGAGCCGTGACAGGATCGAGAAGTGAGCGAAAGCCGGTATGTGTTCGCTCACTTCCCGATCTACTGAGTCGACCTGTGACAGTCTCATTGTCACAGGTCGGCTAGAACTATGAGGCGAGTGAAAAGCACTCACCTCATAGTTCTCCTTTAACTCCTGATTTTAGTGTCACTTTAACAGAGACCCAAATCAGCCCCTCTGTGACCCATCTCAACTAAAACTCTACACTGCAAAGTCCTAGTCCTTATTAGGATTTGATATTAATATAGTAATAGGTGTCTCTGTTATTTTGTCCACCTTCTGTAATTTCCCTGCATTTATCAGTCATAGAAGGTTTCTGTGTATAAATAAATATCAAGATAATCATAATTCTCAATCATTTCTATTGAATATTTTGCAACACCACCTCTAAGTTCACAAAGCTGTTGTCCCCACCACCAGTTATACATACCTCGGTCACCTGTACTCCATTGTCCAGGGCATGCTGAATGAGTCCTATGGCTGTGTCATGGGACAAGGCATTCAGATTGTATTTAGTCCTGGAAGTGAAAGGTCAGGGGTAAATATTATTGATGCAAAATTAAGAGTTAGGAGGAATCCCAAGAAAATACAATACACTTTGAGTATGGGCTCCCTATGCACTAAGATTAAAGCATACCCATCGCCCATAGTCCCATTTCCCCTTGTGAACAACAAGTAGTCCTATCTGCCCCCCTTTAAGCTTACATCCCATCATGCATCTGTCTCTGGGAGTCATGCCTGTGGCTGTGAGAATCATGCAATGCCTCATGGAACTTGTAGCTCCACAACAGCTGGAGTTTGCCCATCCCTGTCCTAGAAAATCCCAGAGCTGGGATGGGTTCTGAAGGCTTCCAACTTTCCATATACATCCCCTTTATTACAGCAGTTTTCTCTATTAAGTTGAGCAAATATCAATTTGTTGCCTTGACTCCATATGAGTGTGCATCACCTTTGCTGCATGCTGGTGGAGATGACATTGGGTGACAGTATGTGAAGTGCCCAGCCTATAAAATCTGATGTCCCATTAAGTTTCTCGAACAGCCGTTCTCTCTCAGCCTCATTCAATGTCTTGGAGTCTAAAGGGGAAAAAAGAGAATACAAGTTGAAAGCCGATGATCAGCAGAGAGTGCGGACACTGAATTTTTTTAACCATCTATCTGAAAATGAACATTTTCAATCAAAATAAAATAAGGAAACAAGGACCAGAGTCAAAAAAATGGGAACTCCTAATTTAGAACAATACTATCACTACATATCACATGCAGAACAAATAGGAGCATTTGGACAATGTTGTCCTGTTTTTGAATGGGGAAGGGGGGGGGAGAAGAGAGAGAGATGAGGAGAGAGGTGGTGATTTACCATGATTTATAAATTTAGCAACTTTGTAGTTTATAAAGCAAAACTTTGCATGGCAATACTCAAAGTGGTGCTTCTATCGCAATTTTATATTTTCCGCAATACACTTTTCCATACATATACTGTAGGGAGTGACATTACAGGTTACCTGAGCATGCAAGGGGCACATGGGAACAGGCTACACTATGAGTGCTGGCCCTGGAGCTCAGCTTTCCTTTGTGCTCTACAGATAATATGAGCAATAATAAAATGCAAAACTGGGCAATGACAACAGTTTCCTGCTGACAGTGTCTCGTGATACAGTATTAATACAAGTGTGTTTGGGTTCACCTGGGTGTATAGACAGAGGTTGAGATGCTGGTAAAAGAGGGAGCAAAAACAATTGCAAGGTACAGGTATGCGTTAAGTGTGGGGCTACAGGGACAGAATCCCTGACCACCACCAGCCATGTATAACACACACAAAAAAAGTAGCTCCCTATGAAATAGGCCGGTCAATCCTTGCATACAGGATCTAACCATGTATACAGTAGGTGGAAGGTATGCTCTGATGTTCTACCATAGTGAAGGTTTGATAAATGTAGACATAAGACATGTGCACCTACCTGCAACTTTCAGGTCCTCCAAATCCTTCTTTCGGGATACAGGGCAATAACATATGCCATATACCATGGGGCCTGCAACACAGAGAAATGAAAATCACAATAACAGTGCAGGACTGGTAGGTTATGTTTGTAGTTGCTGTTCTTGTTAAGCACCCTGGTACTTTTACCTGTAAAAGGTGAACTACATTTTAGTATTCTCAGCTCTACGGAACATATGCCATCACTTAGGTCAACTTCAGCCCTCCAGCTGTTGTGGAAGACAAGTTCCAGGAGTCATTGCAAGACTGACAGTTACAGGCATGACTCCCAGAGGCATGTTGGGATTTGTAGTTAAAGCACAGCTGGAGGGCTGGCGCTGCCCACTGCTGGCTTCAAGGGGTACGAGTGCAGACTTGGTCCAATATAACCTAAATACTTAGCTAGGCACTGGCCACATAACATAGCCTCAGAGCAGTGTCAGAGAAAAAAGGAAGTACACAAGTTCTCATATATAGACGTGTACAATGTTACCCAACTGCCATCAGTTTGTCATTATTACCTATTGCGGGTTTGAATGTGTCAGGTAGCTGCAACCAGCACGGAACGCTTCTAGGATGGAATTGGGGAGAGTGAGTGCCAAGCTCCCCGACCCCATCCTGCCTCGCTGCGCTCCCTCTCCCCAGACCCATCCTGCCTCGCTGCGCTCCCTCTCCCCAGACCCATCCTAACGCGCTGCGCTCCCTCTCCTCAGACCCATCCTAACGCGCTGCGCTCCCTCTCCCCAGACCCATCCTAACGCGCTGCGCTCCCTCTCCCCAGACCCATTCTAACGCGCTGCGCTCCCTCTCCCCGACCCCATCGCGCTCCCTCTCCACTCATCCTAACGCGCTGCGCTCCCTCTCCCCAGACCCATCCTAACGCGCTGCGCTCCCTCTCCCCAGACCCATCCTATCATGCTGTGCCCCCAATCCCATCCTATCACCCTGTGCTCCCTCTTCCTGATCCCATCTGGGGTGGAAAAGTTGGTTAGGCTAAGAATCCATTTTCTATTTGTGTTGAAAAACTCCATTTTGCCGCCCTAAAAGACAGAAAAGAATTTGAACTTGACACTCTAAAAAAAAAACCTCTGGCTTGAACTTCAACACTTCCTCTTTTTAGTGCACAGGTTTAACTGAGACTTCCTTCGTACCTGTTGGTAAAATCTTAAAATGGCTTAGTTTTAGAAACTGGACTGGTTTAGTTCTGCAACAAAGATCACTGTATCAGACATAATTCTTGAAATTGAACATTCCAGTCTAAACTAGATTTTTGCTAAAACGAGTACTAAATGACATCATATTTGGGAGTGACTTTGGACAAATCTCATTGCTGTGATAAAAAATAATTACATTTTATTGGATAAATTGTATTTCCGTACCTACCTAGTGTGGGATGTCACTGGGATGTGTCCTATTAATTAAGCTAATGTTGCTTTGACTTAAAAATTAATGTACCTATTGTGACGTAGCAGAATGTTATCTTGACATCCTGCCCAATACGCATTGATTAAACTTACTTATGACAAGCACACGAATCTCTGTTCCTGGCAATCGCAAGGTCTGGTATTCCTGCCAGGACACATCCTGTCATGCTGTGCTCTCCCCAATCCCATTCTATCACACTCTGTTCATTATTCCTAATCCCATCATATCCTATTGTGCTTATTCTTCCCAATCCCATCCACCTAAATGCAGGGCAATTCCTGGAGGAGAGCTAGGGGACATGAAAGTTGACTCCACATCCCTAGGTTATGCCTCCCCGCCTCCTCCTCTACTGCACATCTCTCCCAATAAAGGAGGATTTCCAACACTGTAATATCCCAAATCTTGTCAGTTCTGGAACAGGCACACTTCTACTGATTGCAGTAAAAGGCATCCCACCTTATCCCAATATTGGCAGGCTAGAGACAAATTAGATCTAAATTTTGATGTGAGATAAGACGTTTTTATATCACCAATTTACCATAGTTCCTAATAGCAATTTAATGTCTTGTAAGAAAACTACCAATCTCATTTATTCCCTAAAAACCATGTAATGCCATGAACCCCCCCCCCGGCTGACAATGTTCTCTTGGTGCTGCCTCAATATCTCACCCAGGACGGGGCCCCTCCCGGCTTCATCGATCCCTAGGCAGCAGGCTTCCCGGCTACACAGCTCCGGTACCGGAGAGGACAACAGACAGTTCTGAGAATTGTCCCGCTCGAACCGCTCCAGGTCCATGCTGACAGCACCACTTCCGGCAACAAGACGGCTTCCCGCCAACTCCGAGTGACGTCAGCGCGTCCTCCGGCCAATCACCTTCAGAGCGTGTCAGACCGAAAGCAAGAAAACACATATTCTGAGACCACGTGAGCGGTGCCGTTTAAAGGGGAAGTAGTTTTGTATGAGATGATGTTATCTCGCGATGGCTAAGCTCTGATGGCTAGTAGTCTGGACATTGTGCAATTTTGGAGGGCTGTACAGGTGAAGCAGATTTTGGGATAAACTACTGGGATGACCTCCATTTAATGTAACAAAAAGTGCTAAAATCTCAGGATAAATCTAGGTAAATGGAAGCTCTTATACCTACCAAAGGATTTTATCTCTGTCCATCCAGTCCTGAGATATACACAGTTCTGCTGGGCAAGACGGGAGCACTGCAGCACAATTGATTGGCTCCTTGTGCTGCTTCTCCCTATCCCAGTGTGAGCTCTGCTGTACAGCAACCGCAAAAGGCTCATACAAAGTCAGGTACTTATGCTGCTTGCAGTGGGGAAAAAAACAACATGTAGAGCTTAGCTAAACCCAAAACCAAACATGTCATATATTGCATATTACCAGTCTATATATATGGTGGCTGCACGGGTTTCATATTTCAGGCTCTATCATCACCTGGGGACCCTGTCAGTAACACACTTCCTGTCCTAGGGCACAGGTGGGCAACTCTGGTGTTCTATCATTCCATCAGACCCATGACTTTCTTGGACTCCCGGGGGCGTGTGAAGGGCTCGCTATACAGTATGTGACAACATGCGGCATGGGGAGCTTTGTTGGACCCACGCATGCTCATTAGTCATCAGATATAGTAGTCCGATGGTAGTCTAAGAGTTCTGGGCTAGGAGCCGCTGATAAGCTGCGTTGGTCCGTGAGATTTATGGACCTGGTGCCGCAGTGCGCTTGCGCACACGGCGGAGCCCTTTACACGCCCCCCTGGAAGTCCGAGAAAGTCACGGGTCCGACGGAATGATAGAACTCCGGCTCTCTGGCTTTTGTGGATCTTCATGCCCCATAATGCATTGCAAGACTGACAGTTACAGTCATGACTCCCGGAGGCAGAGGCACGTTGGGGCATGTAGTTAACGCACAGCTGGAGGGCCAGAGCTGCCCACCCCTGTCCTAGGGTGACAATGCTTACACACTAAACTTTAGTTAGTTTCTGATTAGGTCTACAAACACCTCCCTACTTCATCTCCATTACATGGAGGGGCGTCTCTTTGTAGCACACGGGATAGCTGGGACATTTGGTAACATAGCTATTGGTAGATCTAAAGTAGATTGATACCAGGGACGCATTGCGCTGCAAGGAACATGTTATCATGACGCATCACATTGCGTTAGGCAGCCCTTGTATCATGAGTGGGCTGCAACGCATCTCAATGCATTCAAGTTGAATGCATGCTACATTTTTTGGGCATCATGCATTGGGTTGCCACCCAGATTGAATGTCCGCGCTATGGTAATGCATGTGTTCTTCCGTAATGCACATGCATGTCCGCTTAAAGGTGTTTTCATGAACAAGGTACAGCTTAATATAGGTGCATCAATATATAAACAATTAATGCATAAATACAAAAACTTCTAATTTTTATTCACCATGCACAACTTTATCTATGTGTTCACAAAATTCTGTCACTTAGATTGCTGTGGCAAAGGAAGCAGCCAATAACATCACAGCCCCAAAAGATGTTTCTAGGTCAGAAGTGGGCGGGAAGACTTTATGTAATGGACAGTGACCAATCAGATGGAAGGCGCGGCTAGTGAGGACCAATCGGTAAGAAAAACGGTTGCTATAGTATCTCTGACGCGATCAGTTGGCAGCCAATGACGGCCCGGGAAGAGATTGTGAACCGTTTTAATAGTTATTAGACGCTATTTCAATTCGCGCCCGTCTCGTAGCGGTCCACACAAATTAGAAAGAGTCGCCAGGCACGTATCCGTCACTGTGGAAGAATCTGACCGTAGACATAAGCGTACGCAGATAATATCTAAACAGCCACCGCGCTGTTATCAATCCTGACATGCTGATTGGCTAAGGGCAATTGCCGTTCCCTGTTTGATTGGCTCTCATACTGGCCTTATAAGTTCCGCCAATGTACTAGTTCCCTATAGGCTGATTAGGGCGGGAGGTGTTCATTTCTGCGTGACATGTGAGGAGGATGTCGTGAGCAATAACGGTGTCTGAGCAGCCGCACTGAGCTCTGTATATTTGCAAATTGACACAACACCTGTAATGGGTGCTCAGGAAGACGTCCCTGTCTATAAGATAGGAGGGAATTCATCCAAACTGGAATCTGGAGCAGTTGCCCATGGCAACCAGGCAGTATCTCCATTTAGTTAGTGGTCGGCTTAGAACTATGAGGTGAGTGGAAATCACTCATCTCATAGTTCTCCTTTAAGCTTTGAAAGATGGAAGCTGATTGGTTGCCATCGGCAACTACTCCAGACTGTCTGCTCCAGCTTGGATACATTCCCTTATATGTAAAACAGCTGTTCAGGTGGTGGCCATACCTGGGAACTTTCCGGATCTCGGATGGCGTTTTGCCTATTGGCCCAGCTCAGTTCTCTGGCTTTCTGGTGACAGCGGAGCTCACCTGAATCCAGAATTTAGGTTTCAGTGCTGGCCCAATCGGCTACGGCCGGAGCATTCTCTGCCCCTCAGCTGCATGTAAGCAAAGGGGCGGAATGCTGGTGACATCATTTATCTTATATGGCCATATTAGGTCAATGTAATTAACCATATTTGGTCATAGGCATTGACCTTATATAGTCATGTGGCCATATTTGGTCACAGACATTGACCTTATATGGTCATGTGGCCATGTTTGGTCATAGGCATTGACCTTATATAGTCATGTGGCCATATTTGGTCACAGACATTGACCTTATATGGTCATGTGGCCATGTTTGGTCATAGGCATTGACCTTATATAGTCATGTGGCCATATTTGGTCACATACATTGACCTTATATGGTCATGTGGCCATGTTTGGTCATAGGCATTGACCTTATTTGGTCACATGCATTGACCTTATATATGGTCATGTGGCAATATTTGGTCACAGGCATTGACCTGATATGGCCAGTGAGATTGATGTAATATGACCATATAAGGCCAATGATGTCACCAGCATCCCGCCCACTTATATATGCACAGGACAGGCCACTGCTGATTGGGATTGCACTGACGCTTTACTTCCAGGTTCAGGTGAGCTTGGGGGCGGACCAAACCCAAGCTCATCCTTAGTATTTATTGCCTTTAATAGAGATCACAGTCTTCCCCCTGACAATGCCTTCATCTGTGTTGCCTTTCACCTTGTGACTTACAAAGTTACAACGTAAAGTCTGATCCCTGTGGTGAGAAGACTAAGGAAATGCTTCCTCCTGCCTGCAGCAGACTGATAACATCATCTCAGGCTAGGCCAAGTCACTGAGTGGAACTTATACTGGGCGTTCATGGCTGGAATATCAGCTGATTTACAGGTATCCGTGCCATGGGCGGCCCCGTTGGTGATTGAATAAAATCGAAGGAGTCATGCGGAAATAAAGTTGGCCAATCAGCTGCAGTCATTGTTGGGGTATTCAGAGAGCAGCGGGTATCAGCTGTCAGTATATAATAGCCATCAGGGGAGATTCCTTCTTCTATACTGTTTTAGTGATTTCTCCCAGTTCAGCCCGCTGGGAAATCTTATGTCCGGCTTATGAGCTGAATATAAGGAACAGAGCAGTAGGACATTCGGACAATGATCATGTGACATCGCACAGATTTCCAGGGTCCTCCAGATGTGTGAGCTGGAGAATTAACAAGAGAGTGAAGGCACTGCAGGGGGTCAGCCGGAATAGTGGGGTGTCAGCACAAACCCTCTGCAGGCATGGAGAGGATCAATGGAAGGGAGAGATGGAAAGGGGGAGTTGTAGACGGGTTGGGGGGTAGAGAGGGAGGCCCATGCGAATGGAGGAAAGGGAGGGCTGGAAGTGTAAGG